AAAGTCACAACATATTTTTTCACCCTATTTCCCCATTTAAATCAACTACATATTTGTTGTGTGTGACAAACTCAGACTTGCCTGTTGGGATGTGACACTGGTGGTTGGGTTCTTTTCCTCAGGACTGAGATTGATGAGAGGGGCAGTTTTCTCTTGTTTGGACTTGGTTGTTTATTCTTTCCTCATCTATATTACATGTACACAGAATACAAGGAGCTACATACACTAAGATAGAGAGGTGCAAAATGGCTAACGAAGAATCTCTTCAAGGTCTTTATATATCTATTTATCCAATAATCAAATGTAAGTTTTTTTTCTTAGCGATCCAATGACCCGATACCTGTGTGCTGCACTGCTGCATTCTTTATCCAATCACTCATTATTACCCAAAAACCCTTAGAAGAGGATGAAGAAGAAGAAGAAAGGGACAACGCCCTAAGTCCTCCATCTTGTCTCTTGTTTTCTAAAATAGCTTAAACCTTAAACTCTAACTTTCTCACCCAGCGACTTAAGAAAACTCCGTCCAACCTACACACTCACATTCCCAGTTTCTCTACTTAACTTTAAAAGCTGTCCCCATGGTGTTATGTGAAATTCAGTGCTCTCTTGGGTGTCAGAGCCAGGCATCACAGATAAGGGCACATATCCTGCACCTCTGACCCCAACACTTGCCCAACACGGAAAAAATTGACCCTTGCTGCCATGTAGAACTTTTACACCACTCTGTGACTTTTTTTGCCTCTTGAACACCTTCTCCAAGCATAGAAGAACTATTTGACTTGGTTTGTAATTGAATTGAGAGAAAGCCAGAGATTTCTGCTATGCAGATCATTGCAGTGACTGTGAAATCACTGGGAATACCTGTTCTGTGAAGAGGTGACACAGGGCAGAGGTCCTGCAGAGCCAGCTATGACTGGAGCCCATGGAAGAGCAGGACTGTGCCACATGGGCTCAGTAAGCAGCACAGACCTGACAGGGTTCAGCTCAATTTCAATGGAAAACTCAGAGCATAAATCATGTGCAGTAGGTTTGGCTAGCAGCTCCCAGGTTGGACATGCCACATACTTGCACATGGACATAAGGGCAAGCGTATTTTTGCTGTGCTCCAAAGAAGCTGTGTCTGCCGTTCCTGAGGCTCTGTGCAGGTAACCCAGCATATCCAGTCCTTTCTATGGTAGCTCCTGCAGTTTGTGCCTACCCAGCTCTCTGCATAGCACCTGGTCTGCCTGGAGAAAGCATGTAAACATCTCTTGCCTTCAGCAAGTAGGAAATGTCCCAAAGCACCTATTTTTACCAGAGTGGTGTTGCTATGTTACAGCTGAAACAAAGAGTAATTAGTAATTCATTGAAAAGATACAAGAAAAGAAATCATACAAAGGGGAGTCCTTGCCGCTATCTCACTTTCCTGATTCTTATCTCTTACTTCCTATTTCTGGCTTTTCATTTTGGACTTTGCAGCTCAGCTTCCTTTCGGCATTTCCCTTTGAATTTTTGCTTCTCATATAGCATTGTGCTTACGGCTTTTTGAAAAGGAAGCCTGGGAAAAGGTTGGATTGTTCTGGAATGTGCGGCAACATATTTTTAGTTTAGGGACTGTCTTTTGAAAATTAGAAACAAGGGTCATGCAATAATTATTTCTCTGTTTAAAGAGATATTAGTTCTTTCTGCTTATCTGGACTTTATGCATTATGCTGGATAGCAACAGTGGCCAGAACTCTTAAGTTCAGAAGAGTGGAGGTGAATGTCTATCTAAAGAGTAAAATGAACAAAAATCTATTAATCTAGTGAGGAGACTGTGACCATATACCAGCACAGACTAATCATGTATCATGAAGTTTTGCCATTTCATGGGAATTTTAACAGGTGGGGTCAGACTTTTCAGAGGGCATAAATAACAACCGCAAGACTGTCTCACAGACTGCTTTTGCTCAAGAAATAGATTATTTATAAAAGAACTGGAAAAATGCTTCTCAGAAGTATTCAGCTGGAAACACAACTCACTGATATTAGATTGTTGGTTCCCTGTACAGCATGGAACCCAAGGGTTGAAACCTTTTCTGCTTCTAGAAGGAGTGCCAAACATTATATATGGTGATGTAATTATGATGTAAGCTGGCAAAAAAGACAATTTATGCTGTAAATTTGGAAAAAAAAAGATAGCTCTGATCTGATCCAGAAGGTCTTCCACCTTTGAAATAAATTTATACCACAAGTTAAGTAATGGTGGTTAATTTTTAGCTGTTGTTATCTAGGAAAGCTTCATTACTTCCCATTGTATCAATTTTCAGAGCTTAGTTCAGGGTTTTATAGGATTAAACTTTTCACTGGAAAGGAAAGCATAATGGATTCAACAGGTAAAACAGCAGAGAAACATTAAAACCAAGGATAGTGACATGGTATTTATTTTACTATTTAATCAATGGACAGTGTATAAAATCATAGTATCCTTATTTCCTCCATGATACTCATGCATAATCCAGACATTGATGTGATCATATTGTTTTCTTCCATTACGTGTATTTTTTTAATCCATTGTAATAATTTACTTTGGCTTCTAGCTCCAAGCATAGGATACAGTTTCCATCTTATTCCAAATAATATTGGCTAGTTGCTAGGGGAGTGTGCTGATTCCTTTTACATTTTCTTTTCCTCACCACATCTGTGTGTAATTTTTTTATTTATCATCTCTCTAGGACATTTTTCCTGTGAGAAACCCAAATGTGAAATGTAGCCCTTTCAGATCTAGTGTGGTGTTTGAGACAAGAAGCAATTCCCACAAATATTTACAGGATAGAATTTTACCAGCTGGCAGTTACTACCAGGCATAAATATCTAAGTATATATGTGGATGGGTCTGCACACTACACATCATCTGTTATCTCCCCCGAGTGAGCAAGCTGGCATGAGTTTGAAGTGCAGGTGTGAATTGACTTAAGGGTGAGCCTTCCTGTTCCTTACTGCTGCAGACCTGTGAAGTCTCATGTACCAACTGTGCAACGATCATTTTTGGCTATTTCACCCTCTAGAAGCAGATCTGGCCGGGGCATTAAGAGGGTTACTGTCCTTAGCTGTGCTCCCTCTGATTGAACTTAGCATCTCTCTCCCAACGAGGAACTGCCCAGTGGGATTTACACTGGCTCTTCAACCCCACAGGTTACAGCCTGACCTATTAATATAAACCAAAGTCAATTTCAGTTGATGCTATGCCAGCAGACATGGGCAGTGGTTTACATTATTCTGCTGACCTGAGAACTATGGAAGAAGTATCTGGTTGTTGTTTTTTTTTAAACATTCTTTTGCAATATTTTAGTTGTCATGGGGTCAGCGGTAGGACATCTACTTCTAATTGATCTCATCATTTCAAACTTAAACTTGTGTTCCTCCTCTGGTTTTAGCTGCAATTTTCATTTCCATCTTAGAAGTATTCCTTTCACTTCTTAGAGGATAGCTGCTTTGTATTTTGAAGATAAAGCTGTCTACTACTAATTGAGCTAATTGCTGCCGGCTCATACTGACCAATAGTACTTCCTTGGTTTATATGAGACCTCAACCTAACAGCTTAATTATTTTTACTTTTTTTTTCATTTACTTTTGACAAGTGTTAAACATACTAGGCCAGACCCTCCCCTCCTCCAAGTATGAGACCTTACCCAAACGCAACATACAGTGTGCTGATTTTCTACATCTTTACAAGAAGGAAGAATTAAGGATTTTGGTTTAGGGTTTATCAGTTCACATTTACATTCATGAAGAAAAGGCTTTCCTTCTCTCCTGTATTTCTAGTCTAGTCCTTTGTTTTATTTGGCAACCTACTGGCAGAGTCCTTAGCCCACTTGAGAGACAGGATTCCTAAGTGACAAGCTGGTCATACACAGTTCAGTTTGCTTTAGTTCCCACTAACTTCACTGGCAACAACTTTTGGTATTCAGAGATTTATATATGGCTAGCTTTATTCCTTTTTTCCTTTCCTGTAGGTTTTTTTAGTGCAGAAATTTTCTTCTCTCCAGTGGCTCATCAGTTTCACTGGACTCCACTTATTTGCTGTTTCTTGTCAAGGCTCTGGCAGGATATAGTCTAAGAGAGAAAACACGGGAAACTGAGATTTGTTTTCTGTTTATTTACATTGATTTCATTGAAGAGCAACATCAGAGTATCCCATAGAGTTTGTCAGAATAGAAGTGGTGTAAACAGGGGAGAATTAGCCCCCTGGATCTGTGTTAATGCTGTGCAGACAGTGCTGATGACGGATGGGGATTTCCCCTTTGGTTGTGAGGTTGGGGCAGCTCATTGCTCCTGAACTTCCAGTGTAAGATCCCACAAAATGATGGGCTTTGTCCAGTTTTTAGTTCTAGCAGTAATCTTTAATTCAATGTTTAATTAACCTCCATTTAATGAAATGTTTAATTCACCTCCACTTAAATACTGATTAAAAAGTACTATTTAAATGCAGCCAGAAAAAACTACTGAAAAATCTGAGCTTGGCTATTAAATTACATGATCTCATTTAATTCCCCCAAATAAACATCCACATCCCCTAAAAGAGTATGGCAAAGGTTTATTCTATTAAAGATTATTCTCTCAGCAGTAAGATGATTCAGTGTGATTTTCCTCTGGCCATACAAGCTGTGATAGCAAGGCAGAGCTCTCCTGTCAGCAGTGTGTCCAGCATCGGAGCAATCCCTGTCCTGCAGGAAGGTATGCAACCTCCTCAGAGTTGATTGTTTTTTTACCTTTTTTTTTACTCTTGGCAAACGTCCTTGAGCATTTGAAACGGATGTGAGAGAGTTTTTAGTCCTCATGCAAAACAACCAACTAAACATAACAGATTACATCAGCTCAGGCTTTTCAATTCCTGGATGGCAGCAGAGTGCTAATCCAACCTTCATCCTGGATTTCATAAACTGAAACAAGGGAGGCTGGCAGGAGCAGCGCTGCCGGATTGAGGAAGCTGACGACGGTGCAACATGTGGACAACACACTTTATAAAGCTCATAAACTTGTAGGCTGATGTGTGCAGCTACCACTTTGGATCTGTACCGCTGCTTCCCTCGGCAAGAGGCACCAGCAGGCTGAGCACTGAGACCTGCTCTCTGGGATGGAGCATATACCCCTGCAAGACATGAAGGGCTTCCTGTTCCTCACACTCCTCCTGATGCCGGTGCACGCTGGAGCTGCTTGGAGTGCGAAATACGCAGTAGATTGTCCCGATGCCTGTGACAGTAACGCATGCAAAAGTACTGCGCGCTGTAAGCGAACGGTGCTGGATGACTGTGGCTGCTGCAGAGTGTGTGCAGCTGCTCTGGGGGAGACTTGCTATCGTACTGTCTCGGGTATGGATGGTGTCAAGTGTGGTCCCGGGCTGAAGTGCCAGTTTTACACTGAGGAGGATGACTTTGGTGATGAATTTGGTATCTGCAAAGGTAATGATATTCACTTTGTATGCACCCACTGTGGCAATTTGACAGCAACATACATGCAGAGTTTGCCTCTTGCTTAAAAAGTCTAAAATGGGATTTTTCCAGCTCATCCCTTAGCCAAGAAAAAGGAGGGAAAATACCTGCTATCATTAGAAGATATTACATGTAGTGGGGCATATTTATTAATGTGACAATATTTTTTACACCTGGGGACATGTGTTAGGAAATATAGACAGGGTGTGCTTGGAGATGAGTTTTTTGACTGGGGCTTGAGAGAGCCAGGCATTAGTCCTGTTCTTTCTGTTGGTTTGGTGAGTGGCTTTATATAAATTATAAAGACTTTAATCCTGTAAGAATCCAGGATCCTTGTCACAGGGTCCCTGCTGCAGCTGCACACTCCTGGAGGTGACGGTCCCTCTGGCACTGCCAGCTGCCTGCCCAGGGACCAGATGCTCACTTTGGGGTCTGGGGGATGAAGAAAGCAGCACTGCCTCAGTGCCTGGAGGCTTTGTCCTGTTTAATTTGGTCCTACCTTTGAGATGCTCAGCCATCCTAGGGTCAGGGGAGACAAACAAAAATCCCCTTGCCTAAAAGATGGCAATAACAGAACAGAAGCTGACTGTGAGATGAGCAGCCAGGCACTGCTTTCACTTTATTCCAGGTATGTTGTATACTGATTTCTTTAGTCAGAGGTTATAACCACATTTTTAATCTATGAGCTATTCTCGCTCCACCTAAACAGGGTAATCTTTAAAAGGTGACAAGAAATTATAACCATAAGAAGAAGGGTTATTTTTTTAAAAAATAAACTATTTAAAAAAAAGAATTTGCAAAGCATGAATGCAGTGGGTTTTGCTGTGTTTGTGTACCACTTCAGTAAGTAGATACAGATAAGCCTTAGAATAACTTCCTTAAAAGTGGGAATATCTTGGCAGTTAAATATCAGGAGTATTAATAGACTCACTTAAAGGAACGACTTAGGACCTGATGCTGCAAAAATCATTTAGGCTGATTCACAAACAGCACACACTTATTTACCTTATTTAAAATAAATTCATGTGCATGGTTGAGTGTAAAACCAAAATTAGTACTTTATTGCAAAAGAGTAGAACTTACACATAAAGATTGTATCTTTGGTGCACTCACCAGGAAATTTTACTGAGATAATTGACTGATCTTCAGTTTATTAGAAATTACCACAGTGCAAGATACTGCTTATAATTCTGTTAACAATTATTTTGAATTAGTGTGTACTTTTCACTTTCCTCATAGAAGTTTATTTGCAATAACACCCTTTGAATGGGAAAAAAGAAATTCTATGGGACTTGAGATCTGAACAGATGAATCTTGGATGCTCTGTGGAAAATGTGAAGTAAGATGTTTGGATTTTTAACCAATCAGTCAGTTGAAAGACTCTCATTAACTTCAATAAAGCCATATCTTAACTTAGAACTGTAAATTGGTGTTTAAAACTTCTATTCCCCATACATTTATTTCCACTAAATATTATTGATGTAATTTTAGAAGAAAGAATTATTTTTCTTTCTTCATCTCAGCTCTGAGATAGCACAATGTCTCTCTGGGGTCAGATATTGTTATTTCATATATGCATATGCAGATACGATACCAAGTCATTCACTCATTTTAATAACTTCCATGTTTGTAATAATTGACAGATGCAGGATGGCTAAATTCTCTCTGGCTTCCTGTTAACAATTTACTTTGAAGTTCAAGAAAAATGATCTGAACTCTGTTCTTCAGGTTCTTATTTCTAAAATGGGCCGCATATATTCCAGAACAATATTTTATTTATTATAAGAAGAGTGCATCATACATGCATACATTATCAATAGCAATGTCATTATGGCCAGAAGCAATATACTTTTTGGTGCCCTTACATTTGCTTACATTAAAACACTGGGAGCTATCTGCAATTTATTTAGGAGCAGGATCCTGTTCAAGAAAAACTTTCTAAAAGAAAAATTTACTCAGATCTCAGCTTCATGAAATCTGAAGAGCCTCATCAATTCCAGGATTATTCCACACAAAGCACTTGTTTCTATGCTGTTGTGCACAGCTTCGCATTCCACCTCTCTTGGCTGAGCACCTGCAGCAGGCAGATTGATGCTCCATGTAGTGTGTGCTCTTTACTTGCCTCCCAGGGAGGATGTGCACACAAGAACAGTTTTACTTGGGCAGGATTTTGTTTTTGTTTTATGTGGACAAGTGGCGGATCAAAGAGTGTTCTTCTTGGGAAGGGGAGTATGCTGAGGCACTGTAAGATTCTCCATGCTGGAGTGATTCACTGTGCAGTCCATTTCAGGGAACTGATTGGTCTAGGGCTTTTCATTTATATGAGCATATTCATTTGATACACAGAGAATTGTAAAATGTTGGCTATGCTACAGTGCATTAGCTTGATTTTCATATTGCCTAGGCTGTATGGCAAAGTTAAAAGTTTGCATTCATTCAAGAGGTGACTGGAAAAACTGAAAAGGGTAATTTTATTGTGGGGTGTTATATGCACAGAAACTATGTCTGGATCAGGAGGTCCCATAGCTGAAAAGGAGAGACAAAATGAGGAGAGAGGTATTGTTTGTGCTTACTATGGTCACCTTTCTTAAGAATTTTGTGGAAACCTGGGCTAGGTGGTTCCTTGGTCCAGCCTGAATAGTCATTCATTTGCTGTCAGGAGGTGAATCAGTAGCTCTCCAGACCTTTCCATCTAAGGTGATCATGTACTTTGGGTTGGCAAGGACAGTCTGAACATAAAGGCCTTTCTCCTGGGATATCTCAAACCTCTCCTGGAAATGATCAGCTGTTTGTGGGTTTGGAAAAGGTGTGTTAGACGTGAATTTTCCCAATCTCTGTCTCTTTAGCAATGTTTTTGGGAAGGTATCCTATTCAACAGCAAGGCAGAGGAGGACAAGGGCTGTACGCCATATTTTAAACCCTCTGGGAAGTTATATGACCCAGCATGTGATGTGCATCAGCTATGGGACAGGGCAAATCTCTTGTACCTGACTAAATTTTCTCTGGAAAACGTTTGTTCCCATCCTAGGAGCTGCAGTGTAGTGCTCCTCCACAAGCTTGCTCAGGGATGTGAGGTTTGAATTGGGGCATTATGTGACCAGATGCAGCATAACCAGGGAGTTGCCTTAGTGCTAGAGATCCCTTCAGGGCATACACACTCTTTAGGCTGGAGATTCACTGAGCTGTCTGCCACAGGAAAGCAGAACTTTGCTGTCTGAGAAGGTGTTGAGTGGGAGGCTACTCCCCAGGACCCAGCAGCATCTCCAGATGGAGGGTGAGTTTGCTGGATAGCTCCTCAGGGTCAGGCTGCATCCCTGACTGCTGGCCCTGGCCACAGCAGCCCTGCACCAGCATCAGATCGCAGCTCTAAGTCTCAAAAGTCAGATAATACCATAGTGAACCACACAGTGAATTTAGGGAATTTCTGGAGTCATCTTCCTTTCTAAATTCAGTGCTAGTATTTTAATTAAATCTTCTATAATTGTATATTTACATATTCATATTGCCTGTAACTAAGGCAATTTAACGTAAGAGTGCATTTAGATATAAGGGTGTTTCAGAGAAGGCTTACCAGTAGCACATAGGAAATAAATTACAGGAAGTAAAATCATGTATATAAAATGTGTCAAGATTTGTCAATACTGGAAAACAGTTGTAAAAAGCAGTCAGCATGCTGAAATCCTGTAGCTAAGGTCCAGCTGACCTCCACTCAGAGGTTTTCCACATTCAAGCAGAGCAGCTATTAAGACAGCAGCTGGCTTGGATTACTGAGAACTGCTTTGCTATGTATTTTTTTTCCAGAGTGTCCCTATGGTAGCTATGGAATGGAATGCAGGAAAACCTGCAACTGTCCCTCTGGCATCTGTGACAGAGTAACAGGGAAGTGTTTGAAGTTCCCATTTTTTCAACTGTCTGCTTCAAAGCCTCCAAATCGAAGAAAAATGTCTTCACATGCAGGTAAGACTTTGTGGGACAGTTGATTTTAGCAGAAAACACCTTGTACATGATCTACTACCGCTCTGTGGTGGGTGAGTGCAAGTGTAGGTACTTTGGTGGAGCTGTGCAAACCGTTAACAACACAAGGTAGGTTTATTTTTCTTATTCACAGCTTCCTTAACATGTGGCAAGGAATTAGGCGAGCTGTGACACATGGTAGAAACACTTTGAAATACTTTGCATCTGTTGCATGTGCTAGCAGTACATCGCCTGTACAGTGGGAGGCTGTGCTAGGGTTTGCATCAGTCAGTTCAGGATTTCACTACATTGCATTTACTACTATTATCTAATATGTAGTAAAACCAACATTTTTTTACCCCCATGAGGACAGACCTCTATATGTTTTCAGGTGCCAGTAAATGGTTTTATTAAATGTTTTATTGTAATCACCTGTCACTATCTCTGGAATAAGTTATTTCCTTTACATTTATATCTGAAGCTTGTAATAGATCTGTCCAGAATTAAAAAAAAAAAAAAAAAAAAGAAAAAGAAAAAAGAGTGTGAGAAGCTGGAGTGTTTTTGATCCACCAAGGAAAGATCACTGAAGTTTTTAAAGGTGGGATTAAAAATTTTTCCCTTTTTTTCCACCTGATGATATGGAGCTATGCTTTATGGAATGATGTTTAATCTAAATATAAACACAAACCAAAATAAATACAAATGTGTAGGAATCAAAAAAGAAATAAAAAAAAAATCAGAGATTTAATCCTAAGCCTAGTGGGGATCTTTTATAGGGTTTCACCTAAACGTCTTTGGATTTCATTTCTTCTCCAGCTGCAGTTTGTGTGCAGTTATTGTTTTCTTCTGTTATATTAATGTGTATGGAGTTTACTGTCTTAATAAAAGATTTATCTTTCTCCCATTCTCTGCTAAAAGGAAGTCAGATTGAAGCAAACCTCTGCATCTTATGCATATATCGCACTTAAAATAATCTCCACAAAACCTCTTACAAGATTGATCAGCCCTGATATTTTTCCATTTTTCTATATGATTGTGTTCTTTTGCTTTTCCTTGTTCTATTTATTACTGGAGGTGCCAAAATAATGATGGTGCTTGCTTTTTTCTGTATCTAGCCTATATTCCAAATCTTACCAGACAGCCTATTTGCATCAATTCCTCCTCCTCTTTTCTCTTCCCCACTCATTTTTGTTCCCAAACTTTCTGCTACCTCAATGTTTAACTGCTTGACTTATCCCAGCCAGGATGAGATACTCATGTGAGTGGAAACAAACTGTTATTTACTCTTGCAGAAGTTTCCCAATGACTTCTGTTCTCAGAAGTCTGTCACTGCTAGCAGACCAGGGATGCTGTGAATAGTACTCCATGGGGTGGTCACTCAGGGTTCCATTTAAAAGTGCTCTTCAGAAGCAGCTATAGCATCTAAGCAATCTTCAGTGAATTAAAACACCTGTAAATGCTTCTGTGTTTTAGACAGGCAAGTTTCTAGCCCATATGCTTTATGAAGACCACTATCAAACGTAAAGGTGTCAGAGCATGGTCCCGTACACTGCAGTCTGACTCCTTCTATGGTCAAACACTAGGGCAGTGGACAGCACGCTTTGTTCCAGGCCAGCTAGCTGTGCCAAGAAACCTCAGCCACAGCTCAGGAATCAGCCTCAGCCAGGGGCTGTTTCCAGTGGACAAACTGAATATCTTTTACCTATTTTTGGAGAGTAAGAGAGTTTCATGGCATGCACCAGGTTATTCCACGCCAGCTGGCCTCAGTCAGAGAATAGCTGCAGGGAAGTTTAGTTTACTGCTGTAGTTATTGAGGGTATGTTGCTTTGTCCTGTGTCACACTGGAGTGAGTGTTACAGTCAGAACTGGAAACTGAAATCAAATCATCAGCCCCATGCTTAAACTATTAGAAAACAGATATGACATCCCTTAATTTGGTAGAAATCTTGCAACAAGGTAATTGGCAGTAATTTAAACTGCAAACATGTCAGTTAAGGATTTTTCAAAGTGTTTCTAAAACATTGCAGGAACATTGCTGCAGGACAATGATTTAAAGCTCTCACATTCATGAAATCCACCTTTATTTTTGTGTTTTTTTCAGACAGTGACATGGCATCTGGGGATGGAAATTCTGTAAAAGAGGAATTCGTTAAAGAGAAAGTTATTCGCTCTCCAGTAATGAAATGGCTAAATCCTCGCTGATATTTACCTACACTTGTAAGACTTTCAAGTGAATGCATTTCTCACAGATTATTGGATATGCAACAACACACTTTAAAAACAAAGTAGGTCTATAATGTATGAATATGTAATCTTTGAAGCTCAAATGTGACCTGCTTTTAATGAGAAAAATGTTTACTTAAAAATAGACTGTACAGTGTATATGACTTTTGATATTTGTTTTGATAAGTATTTGAACAGAGAAATGTATTGTGGCTTTTTGAATGTATAGTAATACTGAAAACCCAACATAATCATTTAAATAATGCCAGAGGTTGACTCTTGACAGCCTGAGGCTGGAAAAACTCTCACTGAATGAAGGGGACAGTTTGGGTGAGTGATACTATTGATGTGGAACCATCATGAAAGAAACACATATAAAAAACACCTCAGATTGAAGGTGTACCCTTGTTCAGTAACAATAATAACAACAAAAGCACAACAGTGTAAATTAAATAAACCAACGTTAGTTGTTAACAATTTTGTTGTTTTTGGAAGTTTGGTGACAATTCATCGGAGACAAATATGCCTTTCTTCAGAGAGAAAACACCCAGCATTTCAGTTTATACATTGTGAATAACTTCGGCAAGACACTGCAGACATATATTGTATTTAGTTGAATTTCTAAAGTTAAATTTTGTACAGAGAAACAGCAGATTGGTAAATTCTACCGATTTGTAGAAGGGGATCTGAAACAAAAGAAGCTGCTTATCATTATTTAAATATATATGTTTCTATATGCCAGATAGTTGGTGTCATTAAGGTGACATCTGCATTTCTTTGGGAAGAGTGGTGAGAGGCCAGCAAAGGGACCTTCATGCTTTCCATCTTCACTGCTGGCTATGGCCCAGATGTGACTCACAAGGAATTTATTTGATTCAGGGAAGACTTGGACCCTCAGCAAGTGATAGTGCAGCCACAGACTCTACAGTATTTTGGTACCCAGTCCTTTGTCTCTCAATTGCATGAGCAAGTGGTCCCATTTCAGCCAGGAGAAAAACTTCCACATGTTAGAGTGTTGCAGGAATGGGCAATCCCACATTCAGTCTAAGCTGGATGATATACATGTAAATCAAAAATCATCACTGAGAAAGACTTGTTAATATGTCTGAAAACAACCAAATCCACAGATAATGAAAATTGACTTGTCAGAGTGAACCTGGATGCCATGAGTTTAGGAATGGCCTTTTAACACAGAGCACTCTCATTGGAGGTGTGGCTTGATTTTAACATTTCCTTTGAAATCAGCCTGAACTTTGACAACGACTGCAACGAAAGAAGGGACACACAGTAGAGCACCCATAGTTCAGGATCTAAAGCATTCTTTCAAAACTATGAACTACTGAAATTCCCATGCCCTTCAAGGGATCCAAAGTCAGTATCTGTGAAAACAGGATGCATTCACCTGGGAAAGCAGACACGAATTATGCTCATCTGCAACAAGAGGATGATGACATCAATAGACATTCAAATGCCAGGATGAAGGTGCAGGTTCTCTTGCCATGAAAATTGGAGACATACAAACATAAATCTCAAACTAGCATAACACTACATTTTAACCTGTATTGAATGTTAGGGTCTGAGAGGGAATAATGTTACCCTGGGCTATTTGCTAGCAAGTGAATTGATTCTAATCTACTGATACAAAAAATAATTTTTTTCTTGATTTCAGTGAGAGCAGGATCAAACCCATGGTCTTCCAGCAGACTGATGAGAAATATTGAAAGAATGTAGTAAATACTGCATCCATTATTAATACTTTGCAATAGTGTCATAAATGACATTACAAGTTCTTGAATGTAAATCAGATAAGTCAGTTGGTTTTAAAGAGTGTAATATTATTATTGTTCAATAAAAGAAAAACAACTGAAAGCATCACTGTCTATTGTGTCTATCTATTAATGACAGAGTAAATCTGCTGGTGATGGTACAGCCATTGTGTATGCAGATTAGGTACACTTTTGCTCTCAAATCCACAGAAACAGTTTCACAATGCCTGCATCTATTTCAGCAAATTGCTGGGACCATTCATGATTCCAGAAAATGAGTGGTGTCCCACTTACAGAAATATGGATGCTAACTATGAAGCAGAGAACACAGTGCCTGTGGAATAGCACGCCACATAATTTTCTCAGTCTCACCTGAGAAAGTGGCCTGGGAAATCATGGGGAGGAATTAAAACAATCCTCAGAGATAGAAGACAGCCTTGCAGGTGCTGTTTGTCTGTTCCTTGTTTTCTTGCAAGAGAAGGTCGAGGGGTGGTGAACCCCACTGACCAATGATGGTGATGTGTTAGTTCACTGACCAATAAGAGTTTTACCTTTCTGTACTTTCATGTATCGGTCTATAGAAAAGAGCTGAGCTAATAAACCGGGAGAAACTTCTCCAGTTCAACTCCACAAGAGAGTCTGTGTCGTTCTTCTCGCCGTTCCCAATAGAGCAACACAGAAAGATCTGTGTCCACATCAGCTTCAAAACAAGGTGGTTGTATCCTAGCTGCCTACTTGGAACAGCCACTCTTTGGCCAGTCCTAGTAGAGCAAGGATTTGGAAGTTGTCTTTTCTTCTTGGCCTGGCCATCACCATGCCAGGGACTATTAAGCCCTAGGGCAGAGCCTGCAACTCCTTGATACTCTTTCATTTATCATAAAGGAATAACGTCTGAATCCACAACTGGCAAGTCAGGAGAAAGGAGGAGATGGAGAGGCATGCCTTGAAAACATTTTTGGATGATTTTTACTCTTTTTCATCAAATTTATAAAATGTTTTTGCATCTCTTCAGATGCTTCAGTGATAGTTTCTTGCACACAAAAGAGATTTCAGGATGAAGTTACAGTATTTCATCCTTTTATTTTATCCTTTATCCATTGAAACATTTATCTGTTGCTACCAGTGACAATGGGACTACAACAGGATAAGAACTAATACAAATGATCATAGAGCCATAGAATAGTAGAATTGTTTAGGTTGGAAAAGACCTTTAAGATCGTTTGAGTCCCAGCTGTTAACCTGACACTGTCAAATCCACTACTACTCCTCAAAAGCCATGAGATTGTTCATCACAGGACATGGTCTTGTTATCTAGTAATTAATTTGTTTTTAGTGGGGTCATACACTACTTCCAGTATGAATATATTTGGCAAATAAGCCTCATCTCTGGAAGGTAGCTGTTACTTTCTCAGTTACTGAACTATAAGCTATATAATATATGCAATGACTCTCACTCTTTATCTTATGGGTGATGGCACTGATAAGAACTGTTCTTTAATGCAGTTTGTATTGCAGTCTGTATTATAGGATGTTGCAGACACCATTACAGTTCAAACAATAAATAGTCAAATGTTTTAGAGCAGTGTCTGAAATACACAGAATAGAGAAGCCTGAAATATATTCAGATGTATTTCACCCACAATTCAAATAGTATGTAAGAAATATGTTTCCAGTGTAGATCAACTTTTAATGAAAAACAGCCTTATCAACATCAACTGTGAGAAACATCTTTAATGTACTCCAATGGATGATTTCATTATATAAAACATTCACACTTGTGAGATTTATCACTGCCTAATCACTATAGTGTGATTAACAATATGAATTTGCCACTCTGACGTGCTAGGACACAGATATTGGAATAAACACATAAAAGTATATATTTTTAATTAGAATATATTTATTGTTACCTCTGTACATGCTTGCTTTCTATTTAAATGTACTGTCAGGTCACAGCAGCACTCTGAAAATATTTCCTGACACCTGCAAAATTGGTAAATATTTCCTGTTCTTGTTGTGTCTGCCAAAACTAGGAATTTCACAATTTGGACTGATAACTTTACAGACATCATAATCTTCACTTTCGCAGATATTAATGTGGTTTTCACTAGGGTTTGTGAGTGTCCAAGGAAACTGGGTCTGACAAAACTGGTGTTCAGCCTTTTTTTCCTCTTCCAAAGGTGGTACCATCTATCTTCTGGGTGGCCAGAGACCACGAACAACTCAACTACTTGGCTTAATTATTTCAGGATGGGTGAGTTTAGCAGTCAAATAGGTGTTACAATAGCAAGACATCCAAATGCTGAAGTATTCCTTCCCCTCTCCTTTGCAGCAGCTGCCAGTGACCCCTGTACATGTGCTGAGTGCCTCAGTCGTGGCTGGGTGGTTTTGTGTGGAACCCATGCCTGCAGAGCCTGGCTTTTCTTCAGGCACCAGCAGGGATCCAGCCACAGTCCTGGCAGCCCCATGGCCCTGAGCTGCCTTCCTGGCCCTGCAAAATGCTTTGTGTAAACAAACAAATTTGTGTTTGGTGCAAGAAAAAGACAGAGATTTCCTTAACTTTATTAGAACATGGTGCTCCTAATCCTCCCTGATCCTCTTCCATCCACTGTGCTTCCAAAGAAGTTGCACCTCAGATTCTTGTGCTTGTTCCCTTCCTGCTTTTGAAAGCTATCAAGTAAAAACCCAGCTGAAATTAAGGGCAGTAGTTGATTATGAATGAGCTTATCTTCACTATTCTAAGGAGATACAGATTAATTATTCAAAATATGACATAATGCAGTTTTTCTGCTCTGCAAACACTGAGCCTAACTAAAGTGTTTTTTGATAAACTGGAACAACTGAAATCCTATGAGCATTACTTGAAAATATCTTTCTTTCTCACAAGAGAAACATCTATTTTTGAAGAACAAATAATGCTTTGGAATGCCATTGAAATCCAAACACAATATTAGTATGTTCCTGAAAAAAAAGGTACAATGCTGGGGGAGAATGCACCAGAGCCATTGCAGCTGTATCACACTTTCCTGTTTGTTATTTTTAGTTTTCCATTCCTGCTCTTTATTTTGGGCTTTGCTTTACTTCCTATGTAGCTTCCCCTTAACTGCTGTATCGCTCTGTCTTACATATTTCAGGCATTTGGCTTGCTCTCCTTTTTTTCCTCCTTTTATTATTTTTTTTTTCTTCAAAGGAAACCCAAGAAGTGCTGTCCAGATTCAGGAAGTCATGTTTCTCTTGGCAGTGTCTGAGTTCTTGGTTTTCTAAAGGCATTTAGGAAATTTACATTGCTAGTTTTCAGCTTTTAACATACCCAGGCCTCATAAGCATAAGAAAAGAGTAACATGCTAAGAAAACTCAAGCCTGTTCTGTAGGCAACTATGTCCTGATCTTTCCACCTGGGAAAATGAGTACCCAGTCTCACCTTAACTTCCCAGCCTGGCATTTAATTAAAGAAGGAACATAAATGGGCTCTGGTGAAAATAATAATAATAAAAAAAAAATCATAAATATAATAAAGAAATTTTGTGTCTTTCTCCCCCTTTGTTAATATATTGATACATTTCTAATCTTGTAGGGCCAAGTAATTTGCCACAGAACAGAGGATATTTTCACCTGTTAAAGATGTACCACAAATTTTGTGTAATGGCTGAATGCTTTGCTAGAAGCCTAGGACCTATCTGCAAAGAATTAATTAGGAACCTCATCTGATGCTTAAAAACATACAAATATTTTTGTGGAAAATTTTTGCTTACTCCACAATAAACTTCTCTACGGGGACATGCACTTCCTTGCATGTGTCCACACAGAAATCAGCTACCATGAGCTCAGTCTAAGAGATGGTGTTAAAAAGCCCAAATCAAATCCTTGAGCACATTGAAATTGACGCCATGATTCTTAACTGAGGCTGTGAGCTTGGGGCTGGCAATATTGACACCGTCTAACACAAAGTACAAAAGCAAACACAGTGAACAGCAAAGTATCTGTTCCCCTTCCCTAATTCTTTCACTTCTCTTCTTTACAAAGTCTCTTCAAACTGCTGAAATTTGGCTGTGGCCATGTCAAGCAACAGCCTCTAGCTTCCCCTGGCCAGTATGAGAGCTGGCACTGCCATCCACAGCACTTTATCACCACCACAACTAGCTTAAAGCAACCAATAAAGCAATGTTTGATGAAATCTATGCACAAATTCCCTATGCATTATTTAAGTTAATAAGGTTGGCATAAATTATCTTAAATAATTATCAAGGTTTTACCAATAATTACCAGGATACCAGGTACCCACAAAAGATGCTCTGTCAGTCCCTTCCAAAAACAGACAGTGGAAAGAAAATATAATAAAAGGCTCATGAGTAAAGGACAGGGAGACATCACTCACTGAATAATGTCATAGGCAAACCAGATTTAATGTGGTCAAATTATTAGAATTTAATAACAATAAAAAAAACAGTAAAAAATCAGTATAGTGAAATATAAAACAAATCTTAAAAAACTCATTGTCTCCATCTCTCTCTCTTTCTTGGGTGCTACCTCCTCTCTGCAGCTGTGCAGGGAGACAGGAAGTAGAGGTTATTCTCAGTTCATCACACATTGTTCCTGCTGCTACTTAGGGAGAGGAGTCCTTTCCCTGCTCCAGTGTGGGGTCCCTCCCATGGGAGACAGTTCTCCATGAACTTCTGCAGCCTGAGTCATTCCCATGGGCTACAGTTCTTCAGGAAATACTCCAGTGTGGGTCCCTTTCCACAGTGCACAGTCCTTCAGGTACAACCTGCTCCAGTGTGGGTTCCCTGCAGAGTCACAAGTCCTACCAGGAAACCTGCTCCAGCTTGGACTCCTGTCTCTGTGGGTGGGTAGGTTCCTGCTGGGACCCTGCTCCAGCATGGGCTTCTCACAGGGTCACAGCCTCCTCTTAGGCATCCTCCAACTCCAGCATGGGTCTCCTCCATGGGCTGCGGGTGGACCTATGCATCCCCAGGGACCTTCATGGGCACAGCAGCCTCACCATGGTCTGCACCACTGGCTGAAGGGAAACCTCAGCTCTGGACCCTGGAACATCTCCTGTCTCTCCTTCTGCAATGACCTTGATGTCTGCAGCATTGTTCCTCTCAC